CGAAGCCCACTGCAACCTCCATCTCCCAGGCTCAAGTGATCCTCCTGTTTCAGCCTTCTGAGTAACTAGGACTATAGGTATATGCCACCATGCCTAGCTAATTTTTTTCTAGTTTTTGTAGAGATAGTATCTCACCATGTTGTCCAGCCTGATCTTGAACTCCTCGGCTCAAGCGATCCTCCTACCTCAGCCTCCAAAGTGTGCTGGTATTATAGATCTGAGCCACTGCACCCAGCTATATGAAGTTTCTTTCTGTTCAATCTTTACTCATGTTGTTTCCTTCATATGGACTCTGCCCATTCCTCCTCTTTACCTGTCCTCAGAGCAGCAGGCGGAACCTCACCTCCTCTGAGAAGCCTGCCCAGTACAGCTCCTTCTGACACTAAGAGCTTAGCTCAGGCGTCCCAATGGTATCTCCTCACTGGCCTGAGACCTCCCTGAGGCTCCAGTCCAGAGCCTGAGAACATCAGATGAAGGCTGGGATCTGCCACATTCTAGCTACACGGCCTTCTCTCTAAAGTGGGAATGGCATCACCTCCCTCATTGTATTGTAAAGTGCCTGGCATAGGGCAGGTGCCAGTAAATACCTCTACCTCCAGAAGTTCTGCAAGAGATGGAGGCCTTGAATGGTACCTTCGATGGGGACCACAATCTGGGAACTTTTTATTCCACAACAGAAATGGAAGCTGATCTGTCACACTGTGTCATGGGTCTTGCCTGCCTTCTGGAAACTGAACTTATCACTAGAGGGACAATGCAGGCTGAAGTTTCTGTTTCTGTTTCTGTTAAGTATAGAAACAGTTGCTTTCTAAGAATTGAAGGACACTCAGTCATATCCTTCTGGTCAGTGGAAAACAGATGGTGGGGAACAGAATTCCCACTTATAAATCTTTTCCCTTTGGAATGTCCAGGGTGGTTGGTTTCTGGGAATTCCCTGGGGATTTACTTGGGAAGAGTATTTACAAGGAAATAAACAAGAGAATTTACAAGGGAAGAGCTGTTTGAGTTGGGTTTTCAGGGTAAACAGGTGCTTGTCATTGGGCCTAGATGGAGATGTAGGGTGGCCCAGGACAGGTGAAGGGCATGAGGTTCCAAGGAGATTAAGGACTAGGGACAAGACATATTGATATTAATGTACTATTGAGTCAATATTTCTGTATGGGGGAGGATCTGGGAGCTGAGTGGGAAGAGGGTGGGAAAGGGGGACCCTTCTGATGGGCCCAGGAGGTTCAGCCTCAGCCCATACCCAGCCTCTCAGAAAGACCCAAGGCTAGCAGGGCCAGACTCCTTAAAAAGCTTCCCAACCATTGGCTGGGGCAGAGCCTGATTCTTGGCGTTCTCACTTTTACCCCAAGGGCCTTGTTCAGGATTTCATTGAACCAGGAGCTGTGATCTCCCAAAGAGAAGTTCTAGACCGTGCAATTTTCCTGTCTCCCTGCATTTCCTGTGATATGTTAGTGGCTTAGAGGTGCCTCCCCAGCTCCACCAGAGGAATGGGAAGAAAGAGCCTCCAGGCTCAAGGTGAGGGGCACCTCCCAGCACAGCCGTCTGGGAAGGTAAGAGTACCTCTTTGTGGCTAGAGCCTGGGAGGGAAAAAGTGCCCAGAGATGGAGGCGAGCAGAGGCCAGACCTACTCAGGCCTGGTGCCTGAGTTGGAATTGCCAGGCCTTTGAACCCCAGGCTAGATTGCATTCTTGGAGCAGCCGATTATAGTATAAGGAGGCATTATCTAAGCTACACTCCCCAGCTGGGGCTGGATAGGGATTGGGCTTCCAGAGGTCTGTTACACTGATCGAATCAGTGATTCATATGCTGGTGTAACAGAACCACATGCAAACACATTTCCGGGCCTGCCCCAGGGTGGCCCCTTCCTCAAGCCTGTCTACTGTGACTTCACCTCCCTTCACAGCTGAGTAGGTTGTGGCCGGGGGCCATGGATCTGCAAAAGCTTGAGTAAGGTGCCTGATGTCTCATCATGATCCAACTGGCTGGAGGGCTCTGGCATGGAACACTCCAAGCTGCATCACTTCCCCTCAGGCAACTTGCTGATCCCTGGCAAGGGGTGCAGGAAGCAGGCTCACATGGCAGTGCCCTTGAATCAGGGAGCCAGTGGGAACAGCTTCTCTTGGCCAATGCCTGGTGTCCTACCTGTGGCTCCTCACTGGCTCCAGGGCTGTCCTCAGAGGCAGGATGGGATGCAGTCTTCACAGGAGGGGTCTTGGTCTCCATGATTTTCAGGGCAGAGCCCCACACCTGTTACCTAGGCACTGAGGCTCTTGACTTTTCAACCCTAGCGTGTCTCCCTGGGCTGTCCTCTGAGAAGTTGCTCACCATGGTAACCAACCAGAAGTAGAGTCCCAGCTGAAGGCGGCAATGACACCATTCTTGGCCCTTAGACAACTTGGCCCTTCCCTGGAGGCTCTCGCTGCCAGCTCCGCATACCACCTGTATCCCGAGGAAAGGTGGGTGTTTTAAGGAACATGTTCAGGCCAGAGCCTCTGGGAGGTGAATGAGGATAGATGCCCAGCCAAGAATCTCTTCAAAGCTCAAGGGGAAGGAAGAGAAGAGAGAGGACCACCATTCACCGAGGGCTGGCCATGAGCAAGGCATCTGGCATAGGCAATCCCCATGTGGTCATGAGAGCCCTGGGAGCAGTACAGGGCGCTCGACAGGGGAGGAAACTGAGGCTCAGAAAGGTAAAGTAACTTGCTCAAGGCCAGAGTCCCTGTGTATGTGGCTGTGACTCTGGAGCCATGCTCTGTACAAGCCGGTGGGGTGTACATGAAACATCAACAATAACAGCAATGACCAGCTTCAAACATTAAAAACAGCCTCATTTCTGAAGGCTTTTTGTTTCTGAAACCTCTGTTGAAGCCAGGCAAGTGGAAAGTTTGACCATGTCTCCTCCTGAGCCTCACAGGCTGAGCCAGGTCTGTCACTGAAGCCCTTGACTTCCATCCAGTTTCAGGTCAGTCCTCCCTGGGAGACTCCTCATGTACTCATCTGGGGGCTTCTCTTGAGTCCAGGAAACTCCATAGAACACAGCTGAGGCTGGGCGGCCACCAGACACGTGCTGTGTCCAGAGAAAACAAAGTGGGGATTTCCCTAGGTTCCATGAGCACAGGGACCTTTTCCTCCAGGCTGGCTCCAACTGAGCTGGCTGAGGGATGGGGGCAGCTGCCCAGCATCTACAGAGTTCGTCCGGTAACTATCTCAAGGCCAAAGCATCCAGCATCCTGGCTGTTTGTGGGCGGTGAGCTTCCCAGGGCTGCGAGGGACAGGGCTTCCCCAGATCCAGCCTGGTGAGATCATCTGCCATTTCAGGCTGGGCTGAAAGATCCTCCAGCACAACAAAGCTGGGCCCAGGAGATATCCTGCATGACTCATCGGTGGGCCGCGCATCAGGCACTTCCGGCCCTCAGAGAAACCAGACACAGAGAGCCATTGTTTGCCTCGGAAGCTGCCCCCCGGCATAGCAGGCTCAATGTGGTCATTTGTGTTTTCTCCCTAGTCCTCCATAACCCATACTCTTTCTGGGAAGTGGGGGCCCACTGAGCTGCCTGGGACTCTGTGACAAGAGGGAAACCATACCAAGTTACCCACCCACAAGTCCCATGGGAATACCCTCGATCCAGGACCGGGCCTGGCTGGGAAGCAGAAAACCTGGGTTCTGGGCCATGGTTTAAGTCTCCAAGACTCATTGATTATTACGTCTTCATTTTTCAAACGGAGAAAATCATTCCAAAAAAACAAGGCTGTTGTGAGGATGACCTAAGGTAAAGCACATAAAGTCCCTGGCTCAGGCCTTGCACCTGCAAAGGCTCTGCATGTGATCTTTCCTTCCCACTTCTCTCTTCCTCCTGGCTTCAAAATGTAAGTAAAAATGTTTCGTTTCAACAGAGAGACAGCTGTGGATCTGTTTCTATCCTAATCTGCAGACTCTTATCTAAGTCAGAAACTCCCTAAACTCACACCCACAGTCTACCCAGAGTTTGGCCTACACACAGGGACACAGCCCTAAGTGGGCAAGGACTGGAGCAGGGGGCACAGAGCCTGGTGGCTGAGCTGGGCAGAGCCGCAGATATAAGCAAGCAGGACTGAGGGCCTGCCCCTGGGTTTCAGACAAGCTGGAGGCCTTTAGAAACTTCCAAGGGGGCAGGGGGAAGCAAAAATTAATTTGTTAAAAGGAATCAAAGGTTATAAAAAGAATTCACAGAAAGGGAAACCTAAATAACTAACAAGTTCATGAAGAGGTTGTCAACCTGGATAGTTATCAAAGAAATGCAAATTAAAACAATGAGATAGTCTTTTACACTCATGAGATTGGCAAAAATTACCAAGTCAGATAATATCAAGTGCTGACAAGAAAGTGAGAGTGAAAGAAATCCTTAGGAGCTGCTGGTGGAAGTAAACACCCAGGCAGACAAGTGATGAGCAACCTGGAAGTTTTTCTTGAAAGTCAATAATTAAATTCAGTATGCATGGACTGTGTGAACAAGAGTCCCATGCCTACTGAGCTCACCCCATGGATATTGGTCCAGACCCAAGAATACCACTGCTGAAGCAAGGATAGAACTGCTGAAGACACTGTCCCAGGTCAGTGTCCCATGCAAATGCCAGCTTGTCAGGCAGGCACTCCAGGCAACACCCTTCCCAAAGAGCAGTCTCTCTTCACCAAAACTTGGACCAGACCCCAGTGCAGGCTCTCACACTGGCAGAGCTCCAGTCCTCAGTCCCAGAGGTTGCCCATTGCCCAGGTGCTCCTTCTGGTCTGATGGGGGCTTTGGATCAGGGTTCTGATCTTGGAGCAGTCAGGACATCCACTCCCTCTCCAAGCTGCAGTCTGATATTCTGAAGCCTTTCATTTATCTCGTTGTCTGTATTAGTGTTCTATTGTTGCATTAAAAATTACCACAAACTTAGCAGCTTAAAACAACACACATTTATTTATTTATTTATTATTTATTTTTTGAGACAGAGTCTTGCTCTTTCGCCCAGATCAGAGTGCAGTGGTACAATCTCTGCTCACTGCAACCTCTGCCTCCCAGGTTCAAGCAATTCTCCTGCCTTAGCCTCCCAAGTAGTTGGGATTACAGGGGTGCATCACCACTCCTGGCTAATTTTTGTATTTTTAGTAGAGATGGGGTTTCTCCATATTGGCTGGTCTGGTCTCTCAAACTCTTGACTTCACATGATCTGCCCACCTTGGCCTCCCAAAGTGCTGGGGATTACGGGCATGAACCACTGTGCCCGGCCAACACACCTTTATTATCTCACAGCTTCTGTGGTTGACCTAGATCCTCTGCTCAGGGTCTCACAAGACTGCAATTAAGGTGTCAGCTGGGCTGTAATCTCATCTGGAGGCTCAAGTGGGGAAGAATCTGTTTCTACCTATGCACTTCCTTGCAGCTGTATGATGGTGACCCTAGCTTTTCTACTGCTAGTTGTAGGCCACCTTCAGGTTCTAGAGGCTGTCTCTGGCCCTTACCCAGTGGGCTTTTGTGAGATAGCTGCTTCTTACTCCATCAAGCCTGCAAGGTGAGGCACTTGACTCAGGAAGAACCGTGTCCCTCTTACAAGGGTTTTCAGCAGATTGAGCCAGGCCTGCAAAAAATAGTCTATTTTTATTAACTCAAAGTCAACGGATTTGGGGCCCCAATTACATCTGCAAAATCCCTTCACCTTTGCCAGATTCTGTTGGCTAGAAATAAGTCACAGGTGCCCCCACATTAAGGGAGGATTTATACAGGGTGTGATCACCACACTGTGGGCTGCCTTCACAGAGGTGAAGGCTCCCATTCTGCTGAAAAGAAAGTGAAGCCACAGGCAGTGTAGAACAGCCTTGAGAGACACAGCCTCCTGTGCCCAGAGCCTCTGGAAGCTCAGCATAGCCTTCCAGGATTCAGAGCTTCCATAAAGAGGGCTGACATGGATGGAGCTGATACCTCTACTGTAGATATACAGTGGGTGGCTGAGAGAGATTGGTAGGGAAGAGATGTCCTCAGGGGTGGGCCTCTTAGGCAGCACAGATAAGTGAGGGAGGGGTGGGGGTAGCAGGATCTGGGAGTGCCCTGCAGATGTCTCATGGCGGGAGGCGGTCATTGAATTCCTCTATTTCCAGCTGAGAGATCCCCAGAGACAGGCACCCCTCCCCCTCCCCATCATGTCAGCCCATTACATCATGGTCTCTTGCTCTGTATCCGCATCCTTGTCATCAGGGGACTCCACCCACCCTCTCTCCACTGGGGTTTCACAGGCACCTAGGAGATCAGCTAAGGGGCAGCTGGGATGGCACTGCATGTCCCGACTGAGGGACAGTGGGAGGATTGTCATGGTGCAGACGTGACCTCAGCTCACTGGGCTCAGCTCATCCTGCTCCAGGGAAGGACAGCATCAGACAGGGACAAACACCCACTGTGCTGGGCCTCCTCTTTCCTGAGGGGTTCAGACCCAGACAGGGACCCTCTTGGCAGGGTCAGAGCCGCCAGTGCCTACAAGCCCATCTGCTCCAGGCAGGCCAAGAGGAGTCCAGGTCCTCTGCCACGTACTAGGCCCTGGACCTGCCTCCATATACTCTGGGCCTACCTGCCACTCAGCCTAACCTGAGAGCCCAAGCCCGCCCTGTGCCCAGAACCAAGACCTCAGCCACCCCAGCCTCTCCTCAGCCCTGAGCAAGCAGGGATGCTGGAGCAGGCATGTGCCATCCACGGTGGTCCCTCACTTCTGAACAACCCTTCTGAGCTGTCCTGAGCTGGGTTCTCAGTCCCAGGTTATCTCATTGCACTTCACCTTCCGATGCCATCCACGGAAACTGGCTTTGGCTAGCTCACATAGAAAAGGATTCTAATGAAAGGATATGGGGCCACTCACTGTGTTATCAGGAAGGCTGGAGAGCCAGGCAGGAACCAGGGAGGGCGCAGCTGGATCTCACCATGCGGGGGGGTGTACCAGGACCTGCCACCTCTGGAGGGACACTACTGGATTCCTGAGTTCCTGTGGCCCCACCAATTCTATGCACCTCTCCCTGAAGCCTGGCACCACTCCTTCCAGATTCAAAGTTCAGAGAGAAGGGGCCAGTGGGTCAAGTCCATGTCACATCTCTGTAGATGAGGAGTGAGGACAGGGCACCAGCCCACATCATCTCTCATGGTGGGAGGATGTGGGCTCTCCTCCGTCCCTGTGAGTCCCCCAATAGAGGAAGGGTATTCAGATGTTGGGTCTCACTGTGGCCCCCAAACCCTCAGCGGAGCCCCTCATCATGACACCTGGGGCTCGGTACTGCCAGTGCTCAGTGGACTATGCTGTCAGGTCATATTCTCCCTGACTGGTCTGAGATCACCTGGGAGGCAGGTCACTCCTGGGACTTGGCCAGCACAGCACCTGTGCACTGTCACATATATGGAGATGGCATTTCCTATCTATGTCCCATGGCTCAGAGTTTCCGAATTTCACCATGTTTGGTGCCAGGCTCACAGGCATAGGCATAATTAGTGTTTTCAGCCTCCAGCAACAGGACCACCCTCAGAGCCATTCGACATGGGATTTCTTTTGTGATTGTAAGAGATTCCTCATTAAATTGCTTTGTGGCCCTGAATGAGGACACAGGGCTGTGTCCCCAGAGACTCCCTGGCCTAGGCTGGGCCAGGTGGGATGCAGATAGTGTGGAGCTCCGCTGTGCTGCTTCTAGAAAGCAGCCAGTGTCCCAGAGGCTGTGCTGGAGAGGCCAGTAGGCCAGGACACCGTGGCCCAGCCATGCTCGCAGGAGAGAGGTGTTCTCTTCGTCCTAGGTCTGGAGGCATCTCTTCCTCCCACTGCTCAGGGGCTGGGCTGGGGAAGGACTGGGGTGTGCTAGTCCCACCACAGTTCTGCTCCAGCCTCCTGCCCTTGCTGACTCAGCCTGCCTGCCCCAGCTGTCTGAGCACTGAACCTGCACATGGAATGGGGGCCATTGTGTACCCCTTCTGCCCCTGCACCACCATCCCCCCAACTGCCTAAGGCTGTACGGGTCAGCAGGGGAGGAGCAGAACCAAGAGGTGGCAATGGCAAGATGTGGTTTCTGCTGGAGCCAGGCCAGACCCCTGACTCTCCTTGAGAGAAGCAGAGGCTCATCCAGGGCTTCCTGGTTTGGTCTGCTAACTGCTCACCTTAGGAATTTGACCCCAAGTGAGGGGATCCGATTGCACATTCCTGAAGCCTGAGTCATTCCTGGGTCCTGCGCAGGCTCAGGAATGTGTTTATGCTCACGGGCCAGCCGGAGGGACTCACACACCACGTGTCTGTTCACTCTGGATTTGGAAGAAATGAGGGCTCTTCTCAAGGATAAAAGGGACGAGGTGGTGAGATGCTGCAGTATGTGAGCCACGGAGGAGCGGATGAAGGGAGGGCTGGACTCAGGCTGGAACCAAAGCCTTTGGCTTATGTAGAGTTGGCTTTAACTTGCTCCCAAGGGACAAAAATGGAGAGGGGCAGTCCACACAGGGCAAGGTACTTGCTCCTTCATCACCTCCTCCCACTAAGGACAGCCTTCGAAAGGGCATGGCTTGTAGAGGCTCTGGCTGCTCCTGGCTGCCACCTCAGAGCCGTGGCTGTGGATCTTAGCTCCTTCTCCGACTCTGTCCAGAGCCCTCTGTTGACAAGTTCATGGTTCTCATCTAGGTCTAATGTGGGCCTCTGCAGCTGTGGAGAGAGGTCACAGACACAGCTCACATCACTGAGGGTTTTACACATGTAGCCATATTTGCCTGGGATAATCCCAGGTTACAGGTACAGTGATCAACAGTGCCTCCTTTTACTCTCAAGAGCATCCCAGTCTGGAAGATAACTGTTTGCCTTAACTCTGCAAGCATAATTTAATCCCCACAACACACTACAGGAAGCACACTGCTAATAGCATCATTTTCCGAGGAAGAAACAGAGGCACAGAGAAGATAAGTAACTTGCCCAAGTCACACGATTGGCAAGTGGCAGACTCTGAAATGCAGGAGCTCAGCTCTTGCCTTCGAAGCCGCTTTGCTTTGCCACAACATCAGATTTCCTGTTCTGAAATCCACTTCCTGATGCTTTGAGGACAGAGAAGCTGATATCTCGAAATACCAGAAAAATAACGGTGAAGATCCTGCAGTGATCTCAGCTCTCCTCTCAGCCCCACACTTGGCCATTTTGCCTTGTTCCTTTCCCAGGTGACAGTGTGCACAGTACCATTCACCGGCAGCAGCAGCCCCATCATGTGATGAATACACTCCATCATGCCTACTGTGTGCCACGCGCGCCACAAGGCACTGTGCCGTGTGTCGTCTGATTCTGACACAACCCTGCACAGTGGGTGTTGCTCCTCCTTTCATGGAAAGGAGACCCCTAGAGCTCACACAGCTGGGGGGAGGCAGGGCTGGGGCTAGAACTCACAGATCCCGGCTTTGAGCCTAGCAAACACTCTGCAGTGCCATACACGATGACTGCACTCCCGAGGCCCAGCCACAGACTCCAAGGTTCCAGTGGCCTCATGGCAAGATGCAAGAGGCTAAACCCATGTGTGTGGACTCACAGGCCTTCAAGGCACCTCCTCCTCCAAGGAGCCTGGACTGCACTGCCCTTTGAGGGGGTCTGAGGGACCTTCTCAAAATGTCTCACGATGCAGACACATCACATTTAAGAGGCTTTTGGACAATGTTTTTATGTCTCTGGCGGGAAAGGCCAGACATCTTTCAGAACAGAGCATGGCCGCTTTGAAGCTGGGGAAGGGGCTGTTTCTGAAGCTCAAGCCTCCCCCGTCCAGTTTCTCCGCTCAGAGTCATCTCAGTGTGAGAGCCTCTTCCCACCCCAACACACCGGCCTCTGGGGAAGAAGAAATAAAAGCAAGTGCATTCCAGATGTTCCCGGGAAAATGGTATTTGGGAAAAGGATGTTTGTTTAGAATTTACCAAAAATAGAGAGCCCAAAAAGAGGAAAAGGCAACCTTTTGACCCACTTAAAAAGCCATTTCCCGGGAAGGACTTTCTAACTAACAATGTCACAAAAAGAAAAACCAACAGCATTGACAGTATAATAATATTAAGCTTTGGTACATTAAGAGCTTCCAAAAGCAAAAATTAAGCAACACACATGGAACAGTTACCAAAATGACGACATACGAGAGTGCATCAAATGATTTTTAAATAAATCCATCAAAACCTTGTTAGGAAAACAGGCAAAGAAAACCGGTAATCAACCAAGGAAGTTTAAAATGGCTTAATAAGTAAGAATATTTGTGTTTTGTTAGCAATCGTATACGTTATAATTTTGGAATACCATTATTTGACCTTCAGATAATAAGACCGGCTTGGCTGGTGTTACCACAAGCTGGTGCAGACCATGACAGCAGCCCTCTCAAACCTGGGCTGAGGCTGGCATGTAACTCAGGGGCAACATTTTTGGAAACATTGTGGCAACACATACCCAGGATATTTAACAACAAAACCAAAATGTCTCAAAATTTTCTCTAAGGAAATAATGAGAAATTCAGACCAAAAAATTATGTACAAAGATGATCAATAAAAAGGGGGTGTCAAATAGTAAAAGTCGCAAGCCCAGATATTCTCAGAGGAATAAATACATTATGATATGTCTGTATGATCATAGGATATAGTCATTTCAAATGGTCTTTCTGAACACTGTTTATGCAAATGAAAAGAAACAAAAGTGAGAAAAGTAGGCTGCAAAGCGTACGAGCCCAGTCTTAGCAAGCACGTGTAGATGAATGAATGACATGGCCACGTGGAAACATAATGGCCATCAACCATGCCCATCTTTGGTGGGGAGAGCAAGACCCTGACAGCATCCCCTGCTCTTCTGAGGATGGCAGGGATGCCATGAGACCACTTCATGGGTTAGAGGATGGAGGTGAGGCTGGGAACCTGGGAGGTGTCTGTGGAGAGGCTGAGGGGGACAGGGCTGGAGAGCAGGATGTTTTGTTTCACCAATGGCAGTGGCCCTGGTCCCATGGTAGGTCAGTGGCCCAGAAAGTATCAGGGACCATGGATTAAGAATCAGACCACTGTGACAGGCACAATCCAAGTTGTCAGGAGCTGTGGGGAGCCTGACCACTGAGCCCAGTGTCTTGGCAGAGGGGACATAATGCGTGGGCAGCTCTGTCCTGGGAAAGAAAGCTTCTCCCCGCCTGAGCCTCTAGCCCTCTTCCACCAACCATCTGGCCATCCCACAATCTCCTCCACCCAGGACACGGGACACCCATCCCCAGTCCAGGACACAGGACACCTATCTCTAGCCCAGGACATAGGACCCTTTCCAGTCCTCGGGGGCCAGCCTGTGAACACTAGGGCACCCCAAGCTGGTCACCAATGGAAGTGGACCTGTCTTTCCAAGATGTTTAAAAAGAAAAAAAGACCGAAATATATTTTATATAGATGACAGGATTAAAAGTGATGTTAATTGTCTATGCTTTTCTATATTTGCACAATTTTCTATATCAAACATATCTCACTTCTATAACTGGAACAAAAGTAAAGGCTACTTTTAAAATAATATACATGCTTTTATTTCATATTGAAGAACAGTGTCTTCTGAATTATTCCAAGCCAATTTTATTTTTATTTTTATTTTTATTTTTTTTACATGTTCATTTTAGTTTTGGGGGAAAATGTCCATCTCTGATATTGGTGTTAAAATCTACACAAGTTATTTGAGGTTGGGTTAAATATTTTTCTTTTTCTTTTTTTTTTTTTTTTTTTTTTGAGGGAAGAAGAGAGAAAGAAGGGTAAAAAAAGAAAAAGAGAGAAAAAGGAATATTACTTCATTCCTAAAATGGGTTTCAATAATGGCCGATCAATATTATGAGTGTTTAAAGTGGTTAATGCATATTTTATGTGTTTAAAATGGAGACCTCTATTGTGTTTATTTGTTCTGGCTCTGAGTTCAAGTCCTGGATATCGTTATCAATTTGTTGTCTCGTTGAATCTAAATCTCATTATGGGTCTTATGTATCTGGGTGTTAAGATCTCTTATTGTTACATTAATCCTTTTACCCTTGCATCCTTGTAGCTTTGAAATCTATTTTATTAAGTGTGAGAATTGCAACTCCTGCTTTTTATTTATTTATTTTTGCTCTCCATTTGGTTGGTGAGTTTTTTTCCATCCCCTTGTTTTGAGTCTTTGTATATCTTTAGATATATCATTAGATTTTGTGGCTAATGTATATTTTGTGTGTTTAAAATGGAGAGCTCTATTGAGTTTATTTGTTCTGGATCTTAGTTCCAGTCCCGGATATCGTTATCAATTTTCTGTCTCGTTGAATCTAAATCTCATTATGGGTCTTATGTACCTGGGTGTTAAGCTCTCTTATTATTACATTAATCCTTTTATCCTTGTATCCTTATAGCTTTGAAATCTATTTTGTCAAATGTGAAAATTGCAACTCCTGCTTTTTATTTATTTATTTTTGCTCTCCATTTGGTTGGTACGTTTTTTTTTTTTCCAACCCTTTATTTTGAGTCTATGTATATCTTTGGATATACCGTTAGATTTTGTCTGTATCTTTTGATTGGGAGATTTGGTCGATTTAAATTTAGGGTTGCTGCCATTTGATATTAACTGGCAATTTTGTCCTTTTGTTGATAAAAATTCTTCTTTATGTTAATGCTCTTTACTTTTTGGTGTATTTTTAGAAAGGGTCATACTGGTTGTTCCTTTCTGTGTATAATGCTTCTTTTAGAAGTTCTTGTAAAGCAGGCCTGGTGGTAATAAAATCTCTGAGTACTTGCTTGTTCCTAAAAGATTTTATTTTTCCTTCAAATGTAAAGCTTAAATTGGCAGGATATGAAATTCTGGGCTGAAAGTTCTGTTGATTAAGTATATTGAATATTGGCCCCCACTCTCTTCTAGCTTGTAGAGTTTCCATTGAGAGATCTGCTGTAAGCCTAATAGGCTTACCTTTATGGGTAACTTGATCTTTCTCTCTGGCTGCCCTTAATATTTTCTCCTTTGTTTCGATCTTGGTGAATCTAACGATTATGTGCCTTGGGGTTGGTCTTCTTGAGGAATATCTTTGTGGTGTTCTCTGTATTGCCTGGGGTTGAATAGTGTCCTGCTTTGCTAAATTAGGAAAATTTTCCTGGATAATGTCCTGGAGAGTATTTTCCAGCTTGACTTCATTCTCTCCGTCACATTCAGGTACACCAATCAAACGTATATTAGGTCTTTTCACATAGCCCCATATTGCTTGGAGACTTTGCTCATTCCTTTTTATCCTTTTTTCTCTATTCTTGTCTTGTTTTGTTTCATTAAGTTGGTCTTCGACCTCTGATACCCTTTCTTCTGCTTGATCCATTTGGCTGTTTAAGCTTGTACATATTTCACTAAGTTCTCGTGTTGTATTTTTCAACTCCATAAGTTCATTTGTATTCCTCTCTGTATTGTCTATTCTTTTCAACATTTCATCTAACCTTTTTTCCAAGTTCTTAGTTTCTTTACATTGGGTTAGAACAAGTTCCTTTAACTCCCAGAAGTTTCTTATCATCCACCTTTTAAAGCCTACTTCAGATAATGGAACACAGCCCTTTTCCATCAGGACTTGTTCCGTTGCTGATGAATCCTTTTCCAACAGGGCTTGTTCCATTGCTGATGGGTTCTGATTTTGAGTATACTCGGCCTTCTCAGGCTGTTTTTTTCCCTTCATTGTAGATGAA